GCACATCTCCTGTCCAGAGGTGAGACGAGAAGGCAGAGAAGGTCAGGAGCTGGTTGAATTGACATGGGAAATCCAGGGTAGAAAGGAGGAGTGTGCTGTCACAGTATAGGGAGAGCAACTAGGGTCACATAACAATGTGTGTATAAATTTTTGTATGAGAGACTGACTTGAATTGTAAACTTTCACTTAAACTGCAACAATTTTTTAAGAATGAAATAAATAAACGTGCATATCTTTCAACCTCGTTAGTGTTCTGCAGGAGGTGGGAGGTACCCGGGTGGTGCAAAAGATTAGGCACTGTGAGTACTAACTGCAAGGTTGACAGTTTGAACCCACCCAGAGGTGCCTTAGAGAAAAGGCCTGGTCATCTTCTTCTGAAAAATCAGCCATTGAGAACCCTGTGGAGAGGAAATGGAATGTGTGGCTAATTGCCTCCAAGAACATCTTCCTCCTTTGCCATGAGACCAGAAGAACTGGATGGTGCCTAGCTATCATTACTGAACATTCTTCCCTAGAATACTTGATGAAAAGGGAGAAAATGTAGAACCGAATTTCAAATTCTCATGGACTCCAGACTTTCTGGAGCCGTGGAGACTGAATGAACCCCTGAAACTATTGCCCTGAGATAATCTTTAAACCTTAAACCAAAAACGTCCCCTAAAGTCTTGTGAAAACCGAACAACAATTTAGCTTAGCTAGTAAAGAATGCCTGCCTTGAGTATTAGCTTTTTTAAGAACTATCTACATGGGATCAAATTGACAATAACAACTTGAAAGATTAGATAAGAACCTTAGGGGGCAGTGAGTTTATGTCAATGGGGAGGAACAACTCGGAAAAGGAGGGTGAGAATGGTTGCACAGCTCAATGTAATGTCACTGAATTGTGCGTGTAGAAATGGTTGAATTGGTGTATGTGTTGCTGTGTATACTCCTAACAGCAACAACAAAATAAATAAAATTAAAAAAAAGAAAACCCTATGGAGCACAGTTCTATTCTGACACGCATAGGGTCGCCGTGGGTCAGAATTGACTTGATGGCACCCGGTTTTTGACCCAGCAAATCTGCTTTCAAGAGTGTATCCTACAGAAGAGCTCTCACCAGTATACAAAGCTGTACGTATGGAAGAGGGGTGATTATTGTAGCACAGTTCAGAGTAGTAAAAGATGAAAACAACCCCATGTCCATCAGTAGGAAACAGGATAAAGAAAATGAGCACACCCACTCTGAGCAGCCATTAAAAAGTGAGATAGACCTATGTCTGCTGAGTCAAAAGGACTGTACAGAATTTGTTGCCACAGGAAGAAAAGCGAGTTGCAAAATAGTGTATAAATTATGATGTCATTTCTTTAATAATAACATGCATATTCATATATTCCTAGCAAAACTCTGAAAGAACATGATCCAAACTCTTGATGACATTGCTCTCTCGGGCTGGGGTTTGGGAACATTTTTACTTTCTACTTTGTGCTCATAACCAGATGTCAGCAGGGGCCCGGGCCAGCTGGAACCCTTCCTTACCCATGGCCTGAGGGCATTTTGTGGCTGCTCCAGGGGGTCCCCCTTGTGGGGGTGCAGACCCTGTCTACCCTCCATCACCGCAGATCAACACTCAGCCCCTTCCTCACTTTCCACAAAAACCTAAAGCTTGCTGACCCAAGATGAGAGCGGACTCCCTGGAAAGTCTGGCATCATCAGAAAGGGTTGCACATCACAGAGTTCACAGCAGGCTACTTGAAACTGCTCGGAGACATTCTTCCTGTCCCCGTGATCTCCCAGAACTGGGCTTCCTTGCTGGCCTGCACCCCACACAGCTCCTCCCGCTCCCCCAGGGGCACCACTTTCTCCCCCCGCTAGCCCCAGCAGACCTGCTCTTCTAGCTTCTATCACCAAACTTGCATTATAAGCCCACCTAGAGGGTCAGCAGAAGAGTGAGCGAATCCATCTTGGAGGAAGTAAAGCCAGAATGCTCCTTAGAAGGGAGGATGGCGAGACTTCATCTCACGTACTTTGGAGACGTTATCAGGAGGGACCAGTCCCTGGAGAAGGACAGCATGCTTGGTAAAGTAGAGGGTCAGTGAAAAAGAGGAAGACCCTCAACAAGATGGATTGACACAGTGGCTGCAACAATGGGCTCAAACACAGCAGTGATTGTGAGGATGGCGCAGGACCGGGCAGTGTTTTGTTGTGTTGTACACAGGGTCGCTGTGAGTCGGAACTGACCTGACAGCACTTAACAACAACAATAGGGGTTCAGCCCTGGGTGTGCAGATGGTTAACACTGGACAACTAGACAAAATGATGGTTCAGACCCACTCAGAAACGCCTCAGAAGACAGGCCTGGCAATCCTCTTTGAAAGGTCACAGCCTTGAAAACTCTGTGGAGCACAGTTCTACTGTGCACACGTGGGGTTGCTCTGAGTCAGAATTGACTCAACAGCAACTAACAAGAACAGGGGTCAGACATGCTGGTGATTGTGAAGACGGCACAGGACTGAACAGCGTTTCCTTCTGTTGTACGTAAGGTTGCCATGCCTCACAGTCAACTCAACAGCAGCTAACGACATCAGGAGGTCCGAATGAAATAACTTTCTATTCAGAGGCATCCACCCTCTTTAGAAAGCAGTAACAGTTACAAATGGAGGGGGAAGAAGAACACACACATACTTTTCTGTTGTAGTTCATTTTTCTTAACGACAAGCATGAAGCACGTGTTGCTTTTGTATTCAGAACAAAAACGAGAGATAAACACCTCCTCCCAAAGATCTGTAGCTAATCTTCATGGCTAAAGTGGAGTCCCAACAGGGATGGAGGGACTGCAGCCAAGTGGAACAGCCTTACCCACAGGAGGAGGAGAAATCCGAGCCAAGGATCATGGACACAATTTCTGCTCCAATAAAGACTCCCTGGGAATTGGGAGATTTGAGGAGAGAGAGAATGAAAGGCAACTTTGAAGAGAGGCCCTCAGTACACTGGGTCTTTTTCTGAAACGTAAATATCAGGCTATTCAAAAACAATTGCAGCAGTACATCGACAGGGAACTGCCAGAAATTCAAGCCAGAGTCATAATAGCTCATGGAACAAGGGATATCATTGCGGATGTCAGATGGGATCTTGGCTGAAAGCAGAGAATACCAGAAGGATGTTTACCTGTGTTTTATTGACTGTGCAAAGGCATTCAACTGTGTGGATCATAACAGGTTATGGATAATATTGCGAAGAATGGGAATTCTAGAACGCTTCATTGTGCTTGTGTGGAACCTGTACACGGACCAAGAGGAAGTCTTTGAACAGAGCAAGGGGATACTGCATGGTTTAAAGTTAGGAAAGGTGTGTGTCAGGGTTGTGTCTTTTCACCACATTTATTCAATCTGTATGCTGAGCAAATAATCTGAGAAGCTCGACTACAGGAAGAAGAACCGGGCATCAGGATTGGGGGAAGACTCATTAACAGCCTGCCATATGCAGATGACACAACCTTGCTTGCTGAAAGTGAAGAGGACTTGAAGCACTTACTGATGAAGATCAAAGACCACAGCCTTCAGTATGGATTACACGTCAGCAGAAAGAAAACAAAAGTCCTCACAACTGGACCAGTAAGCAACATCATGATAAATGGAGAAAAGATGGAGGTGGTCAGGGATTTCGTTTTACTTGGATCCACAGTCAACACCTGTGGTGGCAGCATTCAGGAAATCAGACCACACATTGCACTGGGCAAGTCTGCTGCAAAAGACCTCTTTAAAGCAAAGATGTCACCTTGAGGACTAAGGTGCGCCTGAGCCAAGCCGTGATGTTTTCAGTCGCCTCACGTGCACGTGAAAACTGGACAATGAATAAGGAAGACCGAAGAAGAACTGATGACTTTGAATTACGGCGTTGGCGAAGAATATTGAATATACCATGCACTGCCAGAAGAACGAACAAATCTGTCTTGGAGGAAGTCAGCCAGAATACTCCTTGGAAGCAAGGATGGAGAGACTTCGTCTCACATCCTTTGGACATGTTATCAGGAGGGACCAGTCCCTGGAAAGGGACATCATGCTTGGCAGAGGGTCAGTGAAAAGAGGAAGACCCTCAACGAGATGGATTGACACAGTGGCTGCAACAGTGAGCTCAAGCACAACAACGATGGTGAGGATGGCGCAGGACCGGGCAGTGTTTCGTTCTGTTGTATGTAGGGTCTCTATGAGTTGGAACCAACTCAATGTCACCTAACAACAACAAATTTCCATCCTGAAGGTGAGAGAACTGCCTCTCGGGCATGGCCCCTAAACCAGCAAACTGTGAGATTCCCTCAAAGAGATTTCTTGGTGTGGTTGTGTGCCATCGAGTGGATTCCAACTCATGGCAACCCCATGTGACAGAGAAGAATTGTCCGTAAGGTTTTCTAGGCTATAATCTTTATGGGAGCAGATTGCCAAGTCTTTCTCCCGAGGTGCTGCTGGGTGAGTTCGAACCACTGACCATTGTTAGCAGCCGAGTGCTTAGCTGTTGTGCCACCATGGAGTGACATGTAAATAGCAGAGGGGTACAGAGGGGCTCCAGATGTGACCATACTGTGCCACTACCCAGCATGAAACCTCCCCCCAGAGCCTCCTTCTCCAGTCAGTGCGGAGACACTGGGACGGTCACCCAGGAGAGGGTGTGGGGTGACGGGGACTTGGAGAAGGACATCTCCCTGTTGGTCCAGGGCATTCTGGAGAGTAGTGTGAGCATGGGGTGGGGGGGTGCTGGGGAGGGGTTGGAGGCTCTTCCCTGCCCTGTTAGTCCACGAAATGATTACAAAAGAAGATCGAGAGACTATCAGAACAAGGATTGGGCTTGGCTCGTATGTGTCAGGTTCCTCTCCATTTAATTGGGAGATTATAAAACCTAATTCCAAGGCCATCGAGGGCTTCCTGAGGCTGACAGTGGGGATCACAAACCCAAGGCCTGCGGGGGTTAACGACAGAGGCAGAACTGAAATAGTCCTGTGCCAGGGGCCTCGCCCACCCGAGCAGCCCAGACTCCTGGGAGGCCTGGAAGCGGGACCACCGTGGCCCGGACGCCCTGTGTCTAAAGAGTTAAACATTGTAAACCGAGTTCCAAGCTTCTCATTGGTATCTTCCCTCGACAGCTGTGCCTTCCCCACGGACTGGGAGACTGGATCACACTCAGAGCGCTCGGCCCGCTCCTTCTTCCCCGGCTCCAGCCCAGACCTCAGTGTGCCTGGCGCTGGCGAGGTGGGCGGCTCTTAAACAGCCACCTCTTGGCCACCTTCAGGCCTAGGGTGGGCCCAACAGGGGTGCAGGGCACTCCCGGGAGGTTGACTTTGGAAAGACCCTCCGGGTCCTAGACGTGGGTGTGGGTTGTTTTGGGGGGAATCCTGAGGCTCAGGGACCCGGAGCATGGTCTAAGAATGGGGGAATCAGCTCCAGCTCACACCTCCCCTTGGGCCCCTAGACCTTCTGAGGATGGTATAGCAGGAGGGGGCCTCGAAAGTCCTCGGCCCACACAGCACCTCTTCCTGGCTGGGTGTAAGGGCATCATGGCCAGAGGACACCTCTGTAAAGAGGACAGTGTTTTCTCAGCTCCAGCCAACTGCTACCTTGTGGAAATGTGGCCCACCTTCACCAGACTCCTCTGATTTTTCCAGAGAAGTCTAATCTCTACATTTTTCTATGAAATCTCCTAATTTTTAAAAAAGCACAGGAATGGAACACAGCACTTCTGCCAGGTTCGGCTGTGGGCCCCCGTCTGCATTCTCAGACCTGCAGATGAAGACCCGACTCCTCAGCCTGGCCCCAAGGACCTCGGCATCCTGATGAAGCCCCAGCCCCGCAGCTCTCCTCATCCAGCTCCCCTCCTCCGGCTCCCCTCCTCCCTCTCCCTCC